CGTCAGCTGCTCTGCGCTGTGCCTGTACTGCTGCTGCTCTGTACACTGCCTCTGCTGCTGCTGCTAGCACCATCAGCTGCTGCTGCTGCTGTACCACCGTCAGCTGCTGCTGCTGCTATAGTACCATCTGCTGCTGCTGTAGCACCGTCTGCTGCTGCTGTAGCACTGTCAGCTGCTGCTGCTGCTGCTGTAGCACCGTTGTTGGTGTGGCTTTTTGAGAATACCAAGAAACAATTAACCCCAGAGGGTTAGCCACTCAGGATAACCCAAAAAAGTCAGTGTCATCGAAGACTGTCTAACTTATTTCCATTGGGGTCCTTAATCTTGTCTCCCAGGATGCAACCCACACCAGTCGACTAACACCCAGGTAAACAGGGAAAAATGCCTGGAACTAGTGCTCATGTTGGTGAATTTAAAGCCAGCAAAGGTTGGTTTGAGAGATTTAAGAATTGTAGTGGCATACACAGGACCTACAGTACTCAGGAGGAAAAGGCACTCCCAGGACACAGTGTCTCATCAGTCATTGCTGCATCTTCAATAAAGGTAAGTGTTATTTATTCTTCATTTAGTAGAGTAGTACATGCACAATATATATTGTGCATGTACTACTCTACTATTGTGCATGTATCCTTCTCTTTATGTGTAGGAAAATGTATATTTCATGTGGTAAAATTTTTTTTCATACTTTTGGGTGTCTTGCACGGATTAATTTGATTTCCATTATTTCTTATGGGGAAAATTCATTCGCATAACGATAATTTCGCATAACAATGAGCTCTCAGGAACGGATTAATATCGCTATGCGGGGGTCCACTGTACAGTGGACCCCCGCATAGCGATATTAATCCGTGCAAGAGAGCTCATTGTTATGCGAAATTATCGTTATGCGAATGAATTTTCCCCATAAGAAATAATGGAAATCAAATTAATCCGTGCAAGACACCCAAAAGTATGAAAAAAATTTTTTACCACATGAAATATGCATTTTCCTACACATAAAGAGAAGGATACATGCACAATAGTAGAGTAGTACATGCACAATATATATTGTGCATGTACTACTCTACTAAATGAAGAATAAATAACACTTACCTTTATTGAAGATGCAGCAATGACTGATGAGACACTGTGTCCTGGGAGTGCCTTTTCCTCCTGAGTACTGTAGGTCCTGTGTATGCCACTACAATTCTTAAATCTCTCAAACCAACCTTTGCTGGCTTTAAATTCACCAATATGAGCACTAGTTCCAGGCATTTTTCCCTGTTCACCTGGGTGTTAGTCGACTGGTGTGGGTTGCATCCTGGGAGACAAGATTAAGGACCCCAATGGAAATAAGTTAGACAGTCTTCGATGACACTGACTTTTTTGGGTTATCCTGGGTGGCAAATCCTCTGGGGTTAATTGTTTCTTGATATTCTCAATAAGCCACACCAACAACTGTGCTACAGCAGCAGCAGACGATGCTACAGCAGCAGCAGATGGTACTACAGCAGCAGCTGACGGTGGTACAGCAGCAGCAGCAGCTGACAGTGCTATGGCAGCATCAGACGATGCTACAGCAGCAGCAGACGATGCTACAGCAGCAGCAGACGGTACTACAGCAGCAGCAGACGGTACTACAGCAGCAGCAGCAGCAGCTGACGGTGGTACAACAGCAGCAGCAGCTGACGGTGCTACAGCAGCAGCAGCAGCTGACAGTGCAGCAGCAGCAGCAGCAGCAGCTGATGGTACAGCAGCAGCAGCAGCTGTACCACCAATAGTAGCGATGGTTGATTGGGTTTATTATACAACCTGGCCAGCTCGGAGACACGCACATCATTTTAATACTTATCAATGACTTTTTATCATCCTATAGAAATTTCCTCCCCCTTTTTTGCTGTTGGGGTTGGCACAGAAGCTTTTTTGGGGGCCCCCATGGTCACTTATTTTGCAGATAAAAATCACCAAAAACCACTGCAAAAATACAAAAATTTTGCCCGTTTGGAAAGCTTGGATGTTACCGCGGAGGCTGGCTGGAAAACCAATTTCCCCCGGGCAGAACATGTGAGGTGGCTCGGGGCCGCACATGGGACGCTTCCCCGGACGAAAAGCGTTGGGCGGGTTTTTTTAGCGGTATGAAAGGCAAAATTTTTTTAGGGGTTTAAAATTGGCGGTAGGGCGGATTTAACTTATGTAAGGCCAACGGTATCGGGGGTCCATTTTACATTTGGACCCCCATAAAACCGTCGCATACTTAATTTTAAAATCCCCATACCGCTCGCTTTTATCGCAAAAATTTTGCCTCGCTTACCCTAAAAAACCCCGTCACCGCTTTCTTTCTAAAGACGCGTCCAATTTTGGCGCCCTTAGCCAGCCCACATTTTGCTCCCGGGGCTTGTTTCCCAGCCAGCCCCCGGGTAACACCCAAGCTTTAAAAAGGAACATTTCGTATTATTACAGTGTTTTTGGTGATTTTTTTTCTGCAAAATAAGTGACCAGGGGCCCCCCAAGAAAGCTTCTAGTCCCAAACCCCTTCGCAAAAAGGGTGAGAATTATATAAGAGGAAAAAAAAAGTTTGAAAAGTATGAAAGGGATTTTGGCCGTGTCCCCGAGCGGGCCCAGGTTGTAAAAATTAAACCCCAATAAACCCATTGCTATATTGGGGAACGCTCTGCTCCCGCTGTACACCGTCGGGCTGCTGCTGCTGTGAATTCCCGCTGTGCTGCGTCCCATCGTCTGCTGCTGCTGTAGCCCCTGCAGCTGCAGCTGCTTTTTTACCCCCTTTGCTGCGCTGCTGCTGTGTTGTGGAAACCATCTGCTGCTGCTGAAAGTCCCAAACTGCTGCTGCTGTGTTACAAAAAATGCTTTTCTAAAAGTTTAAAATTCCCAGTAAATTACTAAAAGGACTCCCCTTCAGCACCCACCTGTTAGGTTTTTTGAAAACAAGAAAGCCCAGTATCCTTGTCCAATTACCCAAAAAAAATTTCAGTATTTTCAATAGGGGCTTCGGGGATTACAAGGTAGGCTTTAACTAGAGAAATTAAAATTTAAAAATTTAAAATTCATTAAGTTGTCTAGAGGTATTTTTAATAAAATTAAAATTTTAATCACAGAAAAAAAATTTAAAATAAATCTCTCGAGTTCAGTATTATTTTTGCAAAAAAGCACATTCCCCTTTTAAAATTTCTTAAGTACCGTCTGGTAAAATTAAAAATTTAATAAGATTTTAACAAATATGTACAAAAAGTTTGTGTATGGGTAAGTGCTTAATATTTTCACTATGTCTCAGATTTCGACAAACCCTTAAACAAGTGACGGGAAAAAATTTCCTCACATAAATAATTTCTTGCCGACTGGCACCAGAAATCTGCTTAAACAACGAAAAAAATGCTAACCCATTACCCTATAACAAGCGACGCGACACAATCAGGATAAAGGAGATAATTTAACAACACAAAGTAGGGACCATCGGCGACCCTCCACAAAAGTTACAAAACCCATATACTGAAATCTAATTTTCAGCATGGGAAAAAACCCTGACTTTTACAATACACAAAAAACCAGTAAAATTTAAGGTCAGAAGCTATAGCTCGGGACCTGAGATGCTCAAGTGTCTATGTGAACACAACCTCGGTACAACGTCAAAATAAATAAGTCTTACAATGTTCTTTTGAACAGAGTTTACAAAAACTAAAAAGAAAAAAGAGCCAGACAATCTGTCCAACCGCCAAGTGAGTTTTAGAGCAACTGTTTACTTCACGAGAGGTGAGGAAAACCCCCCCCTCGATCAGGGTGATACCCCCGTGGACACCCACAGCCAGAACCCGGCGAAAAAAGGAGCACAAGCGAAAATTTTCGGGTATTTGACAATCAAGACTTGAACTGAGACATAAAAAGTACACCCCTAAAAACTAAGCCCAAATAAAATTTTAAAAGAAATTTTTTTTTTACGATTTACCCTTTATCGCAAATAAAAGCAATAAAATTTTTATATGAAAAGATAATATACATTTTTAATATACAAAAAATCTTTGTAACCCATTCAGGGGTTGCAAATCTGTACATCGTCTCCCTGCTTGCTGTGCCCCCGTCTGCTGCTGCTGTACACTGTCAGTTTGGCTGCTGTTTGTACCACCGCCCAGTGCTGCGGGCTGTTTTGTACCGTTTGCTCCCTTGTTTGTAGCATCGACTGCTGCTGCGGGTAGAAGGTCTGCTGCTCTGTAGCATGTCTGCTGTTTGGTTTTTGGTAGCTTTGGGTTGCTGTGCTGTAGAAATGTCAGCTGCTGCGGGCTGCGGGCCCCGGGTTGCTGTGCTGAAGCATGTCAGTTTGTGCTGTGTGTTTGCTGCTGTACCCACCTTTTTTGGTTTGGCAAATTGAAAAATCCCAAAGGAAACAAAAAACCCCAGAGGTTTTTGCCCCCCGGGAAAAACCCAAAAAAGTCAGTGTCATCGAAGACTGTCTAACTTATTTCCTTTGGGGCCCCTTAATCTTGTCCCCCAGGATGCAACCCACACCAGTCGACTAACCCCCCAGGTGAAAGGGAAAAATGCCGGGGGGGGGGGGGGGGGGAAACTGTGCTCTTTTGGGAAAATTTTTAAAAGCCAGAAAAGGGTTTGGTTTGAGAGATTTAAAATCATAGTGGCTACACAGTGTAAAGCCTTTTTCTGAAAAAATGCCAAACGGGACCTACAGTACCCGGGAGGAAAAGGCCCCCCAGGACCCCGGTCTCTTCAGTCATTTTTGGCATTTTAAATAAAGGTAAGGGGGTTTCTTTATTCCCCTTTTAAATACGAGAAAGTACATGCAAAATTAAAATTGGGCATGTACTACTTTCTTTGTGCATGTATCCTTCCCTCTTTTGTGGTAGGAAAAGGGTTATATTTCATGTGGTAAAAAAATTTTTTTTTTTATACTTTTGGGGGGTCCCTTTCCGGATTAATTTGATTTTTCCCCGGAAATTTAAAATGCTAGCGGGGGTCCCCTGTAAATTGCAAAGAAATAAAAAAATTTTACTTTGACTTGACTTTTTAATTTTGGGATGAACTGTCAAAGCATAAACCCGCAAAACAGCCCTTTCCCATGTATGCGATAACCTCCTTTCACTTTTTTAAATACCAGATGTTTTATTTTTAAAACCCTTTTGACTGTTTACCTGTATAAATTCGTCTTATGCCCACCTTTTTTTTGACGTATCTATACGCATAAAAAACCCGGGGTTAAAAACAAAACAGGGAAAAAAAGCTGGTAGGCCCACAATTTAAGAATGGGTCTCCCGGTCAGTGTGCAAACCCTATAAAAAAAAATCGGGGGGGCCAGTGGTTCATTGTGGGAAAGCCATTTCCGTTTTACTTTTTCAAACATGCCTTTCGTAAGAAATATTTTGTTTTCCCCCCCCAAAAAATGGGGGCTCTTTTTTTTTTTCCCCCCAAAAAAAAGGGTTTCTCTAAAAACAGATTTAAAAGGGCATTGGGAAAATCAATTTTATTGGGGGGGAGGGGGGGGGAGGGGAGGGGGGCGCGCAGCGGCCGACCGGGCCCACCGACCAACCCCCCCTTTAACATAGAAAACCCCGTTCAACCATGAAAAGACAAATAAAGGGGGAATAACACCTGATAAGAGCGGGTTTTGGGGCAAAAAAGGGGGGTGGAGAGAGGGGGCAGTGAAAAAGAAAAGATTTTGGGTGACCCCCCCCCCCTCTGTTTTTTTCCCGGTCGCAAACCCTTTTTTGTCCCGTCAAATTTTTCTGTCTGTCAAGCTCCCTGTTATCCTCTGCTTTGTCTCCGATGAGTTTCAAGGGCTGCGTCAACATCTTTTTCTCAATCTTTTAAGCAGGGTAAAAGCCCCTTTGTCTTGGGTTTCTTGGGAAACCTAGGTAATTTACACTTTTAAACTTGTATTTATGAGTACAAAGTAGACGAGATAGACAGACAGATAGAAGAGGAAGATTGAAAAAAATAGAATGAGGGGGAAAGGTAATTAGAAAAGAAAGGAGGGGGGGCAAACCATCGACTCCATTGTTTTGACAGGCATAGGGGGAGTGAGTAATGAGAGCAATATGTCATTTTGACAGCTGCCGACTCCTGACTCAAAACAGTTATAAGCCACACACTAGCACACAAGACAAGCTTGCTGAATGGAGATAATAGCAGTTATATGAAAGTATCTAGTGACTATATATGTGTATATATGTATATTAAAGGAGGTTTTGTGGGCAAGGGGCTTGGACTTCCAGCAAGCGTGCATGAGCGTGTTAGATAGGAGTGAATGGAGACGAATGGTACTTGGGACCTGACGATCTGTTGGAGTGTGAGCAGGGTAATATTAAGTGAAGGGATTCAGGGAAACCGGTTATTTTCATATAGTCGGACTTGAGTCCTGGAAATGGGAAGTACAATGCCTGCACTTTAAAGGAGGAGTTTGGGATATTGGCAGTTTGGAGGGATATGTTGTGTATCTTTATACGTATATGCTTCTAAACTGTTGTATTCTGAGCACCTCTGCAAAAACAGTGATTATGTGTGAGTGTGGTGAAAGTGTTGAATGATGATGAAAGCATTTTCATTTTGGGGATTTTCTTTCTTTTTTGGGTCACCCTGCCTCGGTGGGAGACGGCCGACTTGTTAAAAAAAAAAATGTATATTATAAAAACCAGAAGCAAGAAGGGAAGGCAGGAATGAAGGAAGGACAGATGAAGGAATGTAGGAAGAGAGGTAGGAAAGGAATGCAGGAAAGGAATGAAGGAAAGGAATGCAGGAAAGGAATGAAGGAAAGGAATGCAGGAAAGGTATGAAGGAAAGGAATGAAGGAAAGGAATGAAGGAAAGGAATGAAAGAAAGGAATGAAGGAAAGGAATGCAGGAAAGGAATGAAGGAAAGGAATGCAGAAAAGGAATGTAGGAAAGGAATGAAGGAAAGGAATGCAGGAAAGGAATGAAGGAAAGGAATGAAGGAAAGGAATGCAGGAAAGGAATGAAGGAAAGGAAGTAGTCAAGAGAAGGTGGACCTCTTTGCTGAGCACTTTGCTACCAAAATGCAAGTTCCTGATCCAGCAAGGGACCCTCCAAGGGACCCTCCTTGGCTAGCTGCAAGAACTGTGTCAAAACTGTCAGTGGTGACAATAAGGCAGGAGGAGGTGCATTTCCTTCTTAAATCACTTGACCAAGAAAAGGCTGTGGGCCCAGACAAGTTGAGCCCAAGATTGCTGAGAAGATGTGCAGACCAGCTAGCAGCACCTCTAACTCGCATCTTTCAGCACTGCCTAGTGCAGTGTAAATGGCCCTCTCTATGGAAAGAGGCAAATATAGTCCCTGTTCACAAAAAGAAGAGCAGAGCAGAAATCAGCAACTACAGACCAGTGTCACTCCTGTCAATCAGTGGTAAGATCCTTGAGACAATAATCTCAAGACAAATGACTATCACTCACTACTTTGTGATCGTCAATATGGCTTCAGGAAAGGCTACTCTGCTGCTGATCTGTTGTTAAACCTCTCCACTAAGTGGCACCAGTCACTGGATGAATCCAAAGTCAGCTGTGTGGTAGCACTGGACATTGCTGGCACTTTCTACCAGGTGTGGCACCAGGGCCTCTTAGCAAAACTTCAAGCACTGGGAATTGCAGGCTCTACGCTATGTCTCCTCAGTGATTACCTTCATGGTAGATCTCTAAGTGTAGTTCTCAATGGACCGGAATCAGCAAGACATCCTATTGGGGCAAGTGTTCCACAAGGAAGCGTGCTGGGACCATTGTTATGGAATGTCTACTTCAACGACCTTCTTCATCTCATCCCAGAATCACATGCATATGCAGACGACTGTACACTGACATTCACTTATCCAAGAGAAGAAATGCCAGCTGCTCTAAGCTACATCAGTCACCAGCTGGGAGCTATATCAGCTTGGGGAAATAGATGGCAAGGAACATTTGCACCTGAGAAAACGCAAATGATGATCGTCTCTAGGCACCATGATGGTAATACTGGTGCAGTAGTAAGGATGAATGGGAGGGTGTTGGCACCTGGAGAAGAAGTTGATATCCTTGGGGTGAAATTTGACTCCAAACTAACCATGAAGAACCATGTTTTAAATCTTGCAAACAAGGCAGCCAGGAAGCTTACAGCACTTCACCGTATCTCGCATCTACTTGACAGTAGGAGTTGCTCCACTTTCTTGGGTTGCCTGCCTCCCCTCTCATCTGTGACTGCTTGACAGAGTAGAGAACAGAGCAAGACGTCTCATCTCTCGCCTGGACCCATCCTGGATAGATCTGTCATTTCAGCAGAGCCTTCAACATAGGAGGGATGTTGGTGGCCTTACTGTTATGTACAAGGCCAATATTGTCAAAGTACCACACTTGGATCTACTTTGAGGACAGCGTGAAACAAGCTTTTATGCCACAAGACTGGCAGAAAGCAGCAACTTCACTCTAGCTGTACCCTTCTCCAGAACATCACTCTATCTGAGATCATATATACCCAGGATGACTCGAGTATGGAACACATTCGTACAGCATAATGATGTCAACGAGATAGTCAGTTGATCAAATGAAAATGCTGGCCCACAGATGGCTCCAATTTCATCCTGTTCCCTACTTGTATGTCTCATAACAATAAAAATGCTTTCAAATGAGCTGATGTAGGTAACAGCTCTTAGCTTGCCAATAAAGTTAGGAATCCTTAACCTGTAAATAGCTTGTCAATAAAGCTAGGGATCACTAACCTTGTCAAACCCTGTGTAAAAAAAAAAAAAAAAAAAAAAAAGGAAAGGAATGAAGGAAAGGAATGAAAGAAAGGAATGAAGGAAAGGAATGAAGGAAAGGAATGAAGGAGAGGAATGAAGGAGAGGAATGCAGGAAAGGAATGAAGGAAAGGAATGCAGGAAAGTAGGAAGGAAGGAATGATGACACACGACCATTTACCTAGGATAACTACATAACACAACTGCCTGCTAATACTTTGAAGAAAACTGCTCAGAGGAGGTGTTTTGTCTTTGCACATAAAAAAAAAAGTCCACAAAAATGCACACACACCGGTTTTGTGTGTGAGGAGTGTAAAACATCATTGTGTATGAAAACATGTTTCAAAGAGTTCCACAAGCTGCAGAACTTCTAGGAATATGTTCGGTGACTGTACATTGGTATATACAGTGGACACCCGCCTAACGTTGGCATCACATAACGTTAAATCCGCCTAGCGATACATTTTATCGCTAAAATTTTTCCTCGCCTAGCGCTAAAAGACTTGCTCAACGCAATTCGTCCGAGACGCGTCCATGTGCGGCCTGAGCAGGCCTCACTTGTTCCGCCGGTGGCATTGTTTACAAGCCAGCCTCCGCGGTAACATCCAAGCATACAATCGGAACATTTCGTATTATTACAGCGTTTTTAGTGATTTCACCTGCAAAATAAGTGACCATGAGCCCCAAGAAAGCTTCTAGTGCCAACCCTACAGCAATAAGGGTGAGAATTACTATGGATATGAAGAAAGAAATCATTGCTAAGTATGAAAGTGGAGTGCGTGTCTCCGAGCTGGCCAGGTTGTATAGTAAACCCCAATCAATCATCGCTACTATTGTGTCCAAGAAAATGGCAATCAAGGAAGCTGTTCTTGCCAAAGGTGCAACTTTTTTTCGAAACAGAGATCGCAAGTGATAAAAGATGTTGAGAGACTGTTATTGGTGTGGATAAACGAAAAACAGATAGCAGGAGATAGCATCTCTCAAGCGATCATAAGTGAAAAAGCTAGGAAGTTGCATGAGGATTTAATTAGAAAAATGCCTGCAACTAGTGATGATGTGAGTGAATTTAAGGCCAGCAAAGGTTGGTTTGAGAGATTTAAGAAGCGTAGTGGCATACATAGTGTGATAAGGCATGGTGAGGCTGCCAGTTCGGACCACAAAGCAGCTGAAAACTATGTGCAGAAGTTCAAGGAGTACATAGACAGTGAAGGACTGAAACCTGAACAAGTGTTTAATTGTGAAGAAAATGCCAACCAGGACCTACATTACTCAGGAGGAAAAGGCACTCCCAGGACATAAGCCTGTGAAAGACAGGCTAACTCTGTTAATGTGTGCCAATGCTAGTGGTGATTGCAAAGTGAAGCCTTTATTGGTGTATCACTCTGAAACTCCCAGAGTGTTCAGGCAAAAGAATATCCTCAAGGCTAATTTGTGTGTGCTGTGGAGGGCAAACAGTAAGGCATGGGTCACTAGGGACTTTTTCTATGACTGGTTACACCATGCATTTGCCCCCACTGTGAAAAATTACCTAATTGAAAAGAAA